TGCCAACACTGCAAAGTCCTTCTGTATACTTTAGGGATCACCTTAAAAACACATAATACTATTGATATTTTGCTAGAAAGCAACTGTCTTTATAGCAACTGATAAGATTAATATTTTGAGTTGAGCCAGGAGAAATAAAAGGAAAGAGGCACTAATGAACCTAATAAAAAGGTTCAGTCCAGAATGGTTGTTAATCTGTATAACCAACTTCAGGGAAGAAACGTTTGGTGTCGATAAAGCATTTCCTTAGTAAATTACTACTGGCTCCAGTGTAAGACATTTACAGTAAACACCAAAAGTCTGCAAGGCATCTGTTCTATTCACAGTGGAAGAAGGAACTTTGCTCCATTAATAACTTTAAAAACATGCAATAACTAATTCATGATGGCAGTTCAAATCCTATCAGCAGCCTTCATTATTTGACCAAGCTGAGTTCAAAGATAGAGCAAAGCAAGTTGAAAGTTTAGAAGCACATTTTAAATTATAATAAAGAAGTTGTGTTGTTCTTCTTTCTACTAAATATAAAAAAGCTGTAGCTTTAAACCATGGGCAACAACATTATTTTAAGAATACATGCAAGATAAGAGTTAAAATGTGTATATAAAATCCTATATGATCTCAGAATTTGTTTTAGTGAAATTGCATGTTGTACAGAGAGGGCATGTGTAATATACGTGTATGTATATATAATAAAATACTTGCTGGAATTTTAACATTTGACTTCACTAGAGATTTAGTGGGACTTTGCCTAAGGCAAGTTTTTAATAGCAATAATAAAAAAATACTTAATGGTACTTAGGGTAAATAATGTGTGGTCACTATGTTTAAAAAAAAGTAATACCAAACATCTGTGCTAGATTTCCACATGATAAAATCCCCATATTACCTACAGTTCTCCCAAAGTTATAGAGAAACAAATGTTTATTTAAAATTCTAGAAGAGACATGTGATAACCAATTTAAGAACTTTAAGGCAGCCATCTTGTGTTTTCTGACAGGAATGTATATTTAGTGATCACCGTGATTATTTAATTCTGAACATGAAGGATGCCATGGTATGTCATTATGGCTTCAAGGCAGATTTTCAACCACCAACATACTTACTGGGAGACTACCAGACCAAGAATGTCATTTTTCTTAAGTCTATTTGCAAAGACCACTTCATTCCTTACAGGACACATTATTTCCTTATTGAGGCAAATGCTAATCCTTTGGGGGTTTGATAAATATTTGAGCAAGGTTAGTTAGTCACAGACATAGGATTCAGTCTAACTCAGTGATGGAAAACTGAGAGCAAACTGGGCAGAAGTTCCCAGAAACAATGAAAAAGAGCTCAACATTCTCTCCCCAAGAGGCTGCATCTCCAAAACTGGAGCAGAAACACACGCTCACACTTTTTGCTGTGCAGAGTTCTATTTGTTCTCTCTTGCTTTGTGAATCGGGAACTAAGTTCAGCTCTCCTTGTGGAAGCTTATTGCCCAGGTTTTAAATTCCTTGATACATGGAAAGAAAATCTAACCCTATTTTTTGCATAGCTTATTTCCCAACATTTTAATGAACCTTACTGACACTGACATTCTTTGCTCTTCCTGTAAAAGAGCAGGATTCCAACTTCAGCTTTAGTCTCCTCCTCCTGGATAATAAGCCTCACATTTGCCATTCCTAAGACCTTCAAACACACAACTTGAGTAAACCTGTCACCAAAAGTCTGCCTCTGTGAAACAAAGTTTACAGATGCAGACAGGTACAATCTTTGAAGGCCATGAAGTTAACACACCAAAGTCAGTACGTATCTGCTAAAAATATAAAAACAAAATTTAAAAAAATGGGTTGCTTTATTTTCTGGAGTTATTTCTCTGCCTCTGGTTACACTAGCCAATTGCATGACTCTTGCCTGTACTTGCTCTAAGAAATATAATCTAAGGCCTGGAGAAATTCCAGATCTTTGAAGGCAGCTATATTACGAAATTCTGCTATGGCCAGAAAGAGGGGGGAAAAAAGAAACAATCAGCGACTTAAAAAAGAGAAATTTCTGCATGATTCTTGGATATTCAGCCAATCATTTTGAACCAGAACAGTAAGATATTGCTTTCTGGTAACATGCATGCTTGTGTGAAATGGGCAGAAAACTAATATGAGAAATGTTTAATGACTGACAAAGTGATAGAGACTTAAGGATAAGAAGAAAGGTCATGTTTAACCACCCCTTCCATTACTCCCAGTGTCCAGCCTGAACCTCCTCTGGTGCAGTTTCAAGTGCAGTGTCAGAAAATAAAATAGCAAAACGGATCAAATCCTGAATACTTGTTTCTGGTTTTGAATTAAACATGTGACAATATACTAGTTTCTCAGAAATATAATCAACACTTGAGCTCTATAATCCAACCTGTAAAAATAAGAAAAGCAGAATATTTTAGATGACGTTCTAAAATGACAAATATTTTGTTAGAGATATAGAAAGATTAACACAATTTGAGTGACCACTAAACAATTGATGAATTAATTTCAGTAAAAATGTATCTAAGTTCGGATTTACTTTTAAAGCATTCTTAGGAGAACAAAAAAAAAAAATCCATTAACTCTGCAGAGTCATTTACACAGTTAGGGTGAAAACTTACAAACACCAGTTAAGAAAATAAAAATATCAGTCCACTGGGGAGACTACTGCAGAAGATTCAACACAATAACTCCTGGTTTCTCATGCTGAACAACTGTATTGTGCAGGATGAAGACTACAAGCAGTGACAGCAATTCAAATAAGCACTGCAGAACAACAAAGACTTGCCAAGCTACACATAAAGATCAAAAGTTGATCTACTTGGACCTTTAACAAATATGTAATATTTTTAACAATACATAATGTCTGATATTGCTTCAAAGCATGCAGACAACTTTCCATAACGAGGAAGCAAAAGACAAAATTTGAACCTCAGAACATTTTCCAAGAGCCCACTTGATCAATCAGATCCAGAGTCCCAGATAAACAAATAGGCACCTACCAAACATTTTGTTTCTAAAGAGTTCATATAGCCTACACATCATACATCCAAGCTCCCTACAACAAACTTCAAATATGCAGAAATTAAAAAAAAATAAAAATAAAACCCTATAAATGCCATGTACAACAGGAAGAGAGCTGGAGAGACAGACTTCACCCAAAGCCTTGAATTCTTAGAATAACAAGGAAATTGTGAGCCAAAAGCTCCAAAACACTAGATAGTTCCTGCCAAATTGGCTGGGACACATTCCAGACAACTGATCTAGTAAATTTTTAAACCTTGACCAGTTACTAAGGCGTATCAGCATGTCACCAGCAGAAACTCCAGTAAACCCCATCCAGTACTCCAGATAAAAGACAACCTCTATATCCTCATGAAAACTGAGGGAGACACAACTTTTTCCTCAGCCCATGAGGACAACCCAGGGGGAACTGTGAAACATCAAGTTAATTCAGTATAAATACAGGAGAAACATGCATGGTCTACAAGAAGCAATAAGATCTCCCTTCAGCATTCCTTGGACTAGCCAAGGATTCAAAAACTTCAGTGATACTGGTGCAACAGATGAAATACAATCACATAATCATCCACCTTTGAAACAGACTGTATGTAATACTCTGAGAATAGCAGATCTAAATCCAGAAACTTGTCTGCTAGTTTATAGAACTTGTTCAACAATTCTCTCTCATCACCAACTAAGCAACATTAACTCCTTATGCAACTCCTTTCAGAATCCATGAATGGGTAGCATCAGTTTTTATTAAAATTTTGCCTGTGAAAAGATTCAGGATCCAAGGATTTCTTTCTTCACGAGAAAACTTGACTGAAATGCATCATTGTGCCTTGCAAAATTTTCTAATTTTTCATCTTGAGATGTGCAGCAGATACTACTGAGTCCTCAACACATATTCTGGGTTAGGGAAGACCATAAGCTAAATATAAAAGAATTTACCCACAGCAAAGAAAGTATTTTGACAACATTCTGTAGATGTAAATAGCTGTTCTTAATCTCTAACATTTATAGGTTTAGTCATACACAAGGGCCAACAATAGTTTTCTCTGCTTTTGCACTAATTTCATTCACACTTTGATCTGTCGGGCAAATTGGTGTTTTTACTAGACTGGAAGTTCAATGGGACTACACTGTTGCTGAGTTTCTAAGGAAACACACCTATTTATCCTGATTTCCCCTGCTGTGGGCAGCCTGTACACCACCTCCCTGTAATTTTCATCCTTCTTAGCAGAAAACAACAGGGTGTTTGTGAGGGAGACTCACCCTGTCTGGTTTGCCCGACACTGCTCACATGGTAATGCTGCTGGGATGCCAAGGGGCAGATGGGCTTGACACCAAGCCAGATTTTCTTTCAGTTGTACTAATCCAATCATCCCAAATCCAGTCCCAAAAATGCATCTACAAGTGATGTGGGCAGCTGGTGCAGGTAGGTTCTCTCAAAAGCACAGCCATCAGCCCATAGTTTTAATGTGGCAACATTACCATATATTTACTTAAAAAGTTTGAGTATCACCACACAAAAATACTTTAGAAACAAACATAGGCAGAAGCCTTTGTTTATATGGAAGGCAAATCATTTAAAACACTCATTTCAAACAACAGAGGTATAAAAATCAAACACAAAGGTAGTGTGCACTCATGACTCTTCAGTTTACAGCAGCAGCAAGTGTCACTTCCCTCTTCAACAGGTCTAGTCTTCATTGGCCAAACACCAGTTTGTGAAAATAAAAGGATACAAAAACTTTGCACAGCAGAGACAATAAACCCCAAATACACTTATTTCTCTTCCATAATTTCCTATACTTGCTTTCAAATGTCATACAGTCCTGCTGTGTATTTATTAGAGATGTAAAAGAAATGCATACTATCTTTTTCACAAGAAAATTAAGAGCACAAAAAGAAAACACTTCAATAATCTATATATCTAAAACTGCAACAAGTACTTCAACTATTTTTAACAAATAAATATTTTAAACAGTTTTTCATTACCTCTCTAAGATGCATGTTTTCCTTCTCCTTCTGATCTAAAATCACTTCTAAATGATTAACCTGAGATTCAGCCTCTGCCATCCTTCGAGTTCTCTCATTGTCTTCTTCCATTCCTTTAGATGGCAAACCTTTACTTTGCAACATTTCCAGAAGCTTTTTTATTGATTCATCTCTGGCATTTAGCGTTTGCTTTTGTGTTTCAATCCTAAGCTCCATTTCTTCTAGAGTTTTCCTCAACAGGAAGAGCTCTTTAGCTTGTCTATCATGTTCTGCTTGAAGCCTTCGAAAATTCTCCTCTGTGAGCTCAATGGTAAAATGCTCAGCCCCTCTGTTTCCACTTTCTTGCTGCAGAAGATGGTTAAGGTCTCTCTGGGTTCTAAGCTCATCTTGAAGTGCCTGGATTGTCAACTGCAGATGCTGCAATAAAGAAAACAAAGAAAAAGAATCAATATTGGATCTGAAGGTAGAATTAGTCTTGGATTAAACTTTTGTTGTACGCTCTTACAAAAAGTAATTAGAATTAGTGATGAAAGTATATCAAATGACCTCATAAAATATCAGATGCAGGTGACAATATCCATAATGATATCTTTCAAGTGCTTCTAGGAAAAAAAGAAGACAACATAACACAGACACAAAATAATGTCAGCTACAGAGAAAAGTAATAGCAACGAAAGGCAAACCAACAAACCCAAACACTAGGCAGTGACATATCCATTAGTACAGTCAATATGTACCTACAAAGCTGAAAGACTCAGTATTCCATGTTTTCTAAATTACTTCATAGACTAAAGATAATTCTGCTCTTCATGGTACTCAACAGTACTGCTGTTTAGGAAGTCAATCAAAGCACTCACTATAATTAAAGGGGCTTTAGGAAGGGGCTGATTGGTTTCATTTTCTTTCTTTTTGGCAGCTTAAGCTATGAACATGTTTAGTAAACAGGATTACTGTATCTCAACAAGCAAACAAAAAAAACCCACACTAAACAATACTGAATTTCAAAAAACAAATTGACTGCAAAGAGTGGACAAACCTTGGTTCTTCTGGCATCCAAAAACTGAACAGCATGGTAAATGAAAAAATGAAGCAAAATCAACATAAATAAAGGTCAGATGCAAGCAAAGGAGATTCAACAGAAAGAACTGAATTCAACAAAAAGTATCTTCAACAGAAAAAAAAAAGACTTTTATTGAGTTATACAGAAAGGCAACAGCAACTTCACAGTACTCAAATATATAAACTTATAGACAGACTTTACTCAATAGATGTGACAAAGAAAAATACATTAAAAATAATTTGCCCCACGGTGGATAGTAACATTCCTATTTGACATTACTGTTCTTTTTCACCTCTAGGTTTTTTCAAAACACAGTAACTTGTCCTAAAATGTCTGTTCTACATCTGAGCACAGGGGTCTTTCTCTGTACAGGAGGTAAGTCTTGCATTCCCTATTCAACACGGATCAAAATAAAAATTGATTTTGCCCACGTTAAGGTTGGAACATCGAATTATCCTCAATTACTATGGTTTATGATGTTCATTTCAGATTATATCTTTATGTGACAATTTGTTTTCTTTCTCATTTTTTCCCCTCTATTCACTGCCTACACAGCACACTGAGTTTTTAGAAATATGAATTCCTGAAAAATCACACAGTCTGTACCAGAAAACATTTAACTGCAGGAATTAGGGGACATAAATGTATGTCATGAGACATGTTTGCTTTAATCAATATTCTGCAACTCCACATTCGAAAAACAAAGACAACAAAAACCAGACAAACAAACAACAAAACATTTCATTTGGTATTACCGTCATGTTTTACAAAATTGCAGGTAAATTTGTCAGTTTGTAACAACCATTTAAACTAAACAAAAAATGCAAAACCTTAAGAAAACAACCTTTTGAAATCATGTTTGTCAGTTATTTCAAATGAAAAAAAGCATTGCCAACTGCTAGAATTCCATACAGTCAGACACTCTGAATCAATTCTGTCATTAAATAAGCACTGTTTTAATAAATGTCCAGATCTTAATTCTTAGTATTTGCATCTTATTAGGCACTCTCAGTTAAGAGCATACAAATATAGGCCACTCATTTATGGCCCTGCTTTTTTTTAATGGCAATTCTTACCTTTTCTTAACCTCATCATCTTTTTTATTATCCATATAAACTTAAAAGTTGTCAATAAATTTACAACTCCTCTAGATGTAGCAGCTTTCCCACTTGGAATCTACTAATAAACCAAGTGTTTATGACCCCAAGACTGGCTGACATCTTCTGCATTCCAAAATTATTTCACTACTGTGACAGTGACAAAAGATAGACGGGTCTTTGCTTGTATCCTGCACCCACACACACATACACAGGCCCTCTCCCTTTCTGCCATCTCTCGTGCAATGTGGTTTGTCCTGAGAGAAGGCACACCAGGTGAATATTGCAGGAGGAACTGTCTGGATGCTCACATCATTAATACATTCCAAAGACAGAGGAGCTGAGATGTTTGCAGCTGACTTTGGTGCACATCAGCCTGCAAAACAGTGTAAAATGCTGCTGAAGACTAGGCCAACTGGGCAAACTGTGTCCCGAGGTCACAGGCAGCTTGCAGGTGGATCCCCTCCCTGGCAAGAATGCCTGCAGAGTAGCCCAAAGGAATGGGTGAGTAACAGCACTAAGATCCAGACCAAAACAGAGGTAAAATCCTAAAGTAGCTACACAGGTGCTTTGCTGATTTTTAGTTGTGAATTCTTCATGTCCAAAGTCTGTAAACCTGAATTTTTCTGGCTGAACCTGCTTATTTGATACACTCTTTGGACACAGACTATTGACCAAAACCAAGGTTATGTGGACCGAGACGCACCAAGACTTTTCTGAGAAATTCAGAAAGCAAGCAGGTCTCAATGAAGCTTGTGATTCAACAGGAGGGACCATGTTCAGATTACACTGTAATCCATTATAATAGAGTTGTAATTTAGATACTGCATTGGTAATATTTAGGTAACATATTAGCAATAAATCTAATCATAATCATCCACAAAATCACTCTGTTCTTTCACCTGGCCAAGAACCTTCTCTCTACTATTATGCTACAACTGCTAAGCAACAGCAACATTCATCAAGTAGTCTAGAAATAGTCAAAAGAATTGTTTTCTCTGATCTGAACAATGATTTGAGATACATCCTTCTAATGCTAAATTAGACAATACTTATTACTTGATGCTAAGAACTATTTACAAGTAAATGTTTTCCCAAAGTCACTTGGTCTCTGTACATCAAATGTCTATAAAAATCTAGCTAAGCAAAGGGAAACTAATTCTAAAATGTTTACAATGCTGTAACACACAAATAAAAGCAAACTTGATATAGACATACAATCCTAAATGCAAGCTGTAAAAATCAAAACTGCTGGATCAACATAAAAATAATTGGAAATCAGAACTCAAACAGCAATTCTGGTTAAGATAAGTGAGACAATTTCCTCTTCTGCCCCACAGCAGCCTACGCAGGGTGTTCTTGGGCTCTCCCCAGAACCACTAAGCACAACAATAGTTGTGGCTGCTTCTCAGTCATGATGTAAAACTAACAGCCTCAACTGTGGCAGACTACTGCTACTGTGATATAAAAGAGTCTGGTTTTGCACACCTTCAAGAGTTAGAACATGGTAGACCAGATTTAGACTCGTGCTGGCACAGACTTTTGTATCTGCAGCTAGCTAAGTAAAGCAAAGAACAAATGTTGTGAGGGTGGAGAGAAATTGTATAATGAACTGCAAGGGGGAGGAATGTAGGAGTGCTGTGAATATCTGTCACTGCTGTCACTACGCAGACATAAAACTTTACACGACTTAGAAGAAAAAAAAACATGAAAGATCTCTCATATTTTTTATAATTTCTATTAAAAACAGACCAGTTGACCACAAATATTTCCATGCCAATTTCTTGGCAATATATAAATAGTTCTCTCAGAACTTTTTCAGTCCTTCTCTATAGTCCAAGTCCATGTAATCCATGGAACTGTGGATTGCCCTGTAAACTGAAACAAAACTAGGAGAAGACGACAATTAATGGCCCTTCCCGGATTTTGACTCATGTTCTACATGAGGAATTTCCTCTGATCTATGCCAACTAACTGGTCCCAAAAGAATTGCCTGCTGAGAACTATCCTGTCACAGTGTGCTTTCGGCCAGAGCACATAAGCATCCTAAAGCCTTAGATATGATGAACAGTGGAGGAAAACGAAATCCCAAAGAGACTCACAGATTTAAAACTGTTCCTCCACCTACAGAAGTGCACAGCTTCTCATACTTCCCACCATCACACCGCCACCAAAAGCAATGAACATTTTGAAGAATCCAGTCTACTGGAGTTTAGCTCCCGATTCTCCTGTTTCCTTCCCACTCCAAAAAATACAGAATTTACAGGGCTGAATCAGCTGATACAGCCTACTAGTCTCTTGACAGTGGCAAATATACAATTCAGAAGACTGTAGAAAAAAAATTCTACTGTGTATATTGTAGAAAGCTACAACTATAACTGAATAATACATCTGGAGAAGTAACACAGTAAATTATACTATGGACCATACATTTTCAAAAATCAAGCTTCATTATTTTTTCTGTAATCTGTCACTGTTCCATTTTAATTCTTCACCATCTGAAGTTCTATCACTGAAAGGAAACAGACCACTTAAAGCTTTCTTATGAGCTGCATCTAAGTCAATTTGTACATTAACTTCAGTTGTGCTACTGCAACAAGTATTAGACTTATAACTAAAAACCATGCAAATCTTTATTTTCTTCTGTACGGCAGGGAGGGGAAGCCAAAAAGGGGATTGGAGGTATTTTCTTCATCAACATAAATTAAGAAATGGATTCTCTAATGCATTTTCTCATCTGTCTAATGTAATTTGAAATTCTGGCATTCAAACTACACCGCTAAGGATCAGTGGACAAGGATTTTGCTTGAATAAGACAGGAAAGATAGAAAAAGGTGAAAGGAGAAAACAGATGTAATTTGTGAGGAATCACAAGAGATTCTGACCACACGATGCATTTTCAGCATTAAAATTCTGAGCGTGGAACAGATGTGAGAGAACTGCACAGCATCATGTGCTGATACAACCCTGTATTTGAAAAGGGAGAATTCTTGTCTACTGACTTGCCTTACTGTCTTTTTTTTTATGCTTTTAAATTTGGTGCTTTGTCAAACTCTATAAAGCTTGGCTTTATTACCGTGCTTTGCAAGTTAAAGAAGGAATCCTGTCACGTACACTTAAATCTGCATTTCTCAGTGCAGACACGTGGTGGGCTGGCCTGGGCTGGAAGCCAGGAGCCCACCAAGCCGCTCTATCACTCCCCTCCTCAGCAGGACCAGGGAATAGAATGAAATAAACCTCATGGGTCAACGTAAAGGCCGTTTAATAAAACAAAAGCAAAGGTCATGAACAGAGGCAAAGTAAAACAGAGGATTTACTCTCTCTGTCCCATGAGCAGGTCATCCTCAGCCACTTCCTGGGAAGCAGGGCCTCAGTACAGTTGCTCCAGAAAACAAGCATCATAATAAGTGATGCCTCTTCTTCAGTTTCTTGATCCTTTCTTACTTCTTCCTCCTTTCTTATTAATCAAGTGCCCACCAAGCCACTCTGTCACTCCCCTAAGCTTGCCCCTCACACCACACTTTGCAAGTTAAACAAGAAATCTTGTCATAGACATCTAAATCTCCATTTCTTACAGACATCACATCTAATCTGAACTATCAGACTTCACTACTATTCAGTCAGCTTCTCTGGGTCACCTTGCACAAATGTTTTGGCGAAAAATCAAGTACTGCCTAAACACTTGAGGTCATTGAACAAAAATGCATCTCCATATAGGCAAGAACCTTCCTCTCTCTTTTTGTACAGTAGAACTTATTGTCCAGTTTGCTGATTCAGTCAAAGTAATAGCACAGAAAAAATCTTGGATGCTAAACAGGTCTATTACTTTCTTATTTCTCAGAAACTGAGGTCTAGCTACATTAAAGGAATTCTTTTTCAGGCACTGAGTCAAGAAATTACTTA